CAGTCCAGAGAAGCTTTTTGCTACATTTAACCATATCAAAAGGTGTTATATAAATGCAAATTGTAGTCATTATCCTGTGTTTTTTTTTAATTCATTCACAGGATGTGGGCCAGCATTTATTGCCCATCCCCAACTGTTCTTGAGAAGGTAGTGGTGAGCTGCATGTATGAGAGACAAAGCATATGTCTGTGATTTTTAATTAATATTTTCTCATTCTAATGATGGATTTATATTGGATATTTTAACTGTCTCCCCTCTTTCCAGGACTGACAGATCTCCTGAGTATTGAAAGCATTTTGTTTTGGTGGCAGTAGTCGTGACTGTCCAATCACACCCTGGAGAAACTTAGACACAGATTACAACATGGGCGGCACGGTGGCTCAGTGGTTCGCACTGCTGCCTCACAGAACTAGGGACCCGGGTTTGATTCCAGCCTTGGGTGACTGTTTGTGTGGAGCTTGCATGTTCTTCCCATGCCCATGTGGGTTTCCTCCCACATCCAAAGATGTGCAGGTTAGGTGGATTGGCAATTCTAAAAATTGCCTCAAAGTGTGCAGGGTCAGGGTCCAGGTGGGATGCTCTTCGGAGAGTTGATGCGGACTCAATGGGTCAAGTGGCCTCTTTCCACACTGTAGAGATTCTATGATCTTTCTGTGAACCTACAATTCATCCTGTGAATCCCAAACTCCAATAAAGAAACTCTTCAACTCTGGAGAGGGTACATTTACAGTGAAAGGGGGAAAAATCTGTTAAAATAGGAAGTTTAATAAATCATAGTATTTGGAGCAAATAATGCACCTTAGGAAGAATCGTTGAAAAAAAAAACAGTATATTAAGGTTGCTTGGAGTCAGACGTTAGCCCAACAGATAGGGCACAAACAAACGAGAAAGGGTTGAAACAAATAGTCATGTTCCAGAGTTACAAAGAATCACACAGCAAAAAGATGATATTCCTGCGTGAACAACGCTAGGCCCAGAGAAAATGGTTCCTTTCCCATGAGAAGAAGGCAAGATGTGCTACCCTAAGTCACTAAGCCAGAGCATTGGAGAAATAAACAGATAGGATGTTCCAGTAATTAAGATTACATTTCCCATGAAAACAAAATTAAAGCTTTAGCAATTGGCCATCTGTTTACTTCCCCTCCTTCCTGTCTGTGTGCTCTGGTGTCAGTTTATTACTCAAATGCCATAGGTGAAATTTGACCATGACTGGATAAGTGGAACATGTGTATTATTAGTGTTTGGTATATTCAAACAATGTAAAGTCCATGTTCAGGTAGCATAAAATCAGCGTTCTGTAACAGCTTGCGGAAATTTTTTTTCCCCATTGGAAGAGTGCATCTCTTTTGTATATGCATAAATAAACCAGTGAAGGTTCCAAATGTCTCAGTCTAGTTTTTATGGGTCGATGTGATTTTAAGAGAAAACCACTGGTTTGTTTCCATGCTGCATGAGTCTATGACTCTACAACAACAGAATGATAAATTTTATAGACAATTGCAATTATAAATAAAAAATAAAATTTATATTGGAAATTTGAAAATAAGTACAGAATATACACATTTAAAATGAGCGTGGAATTACATCTGCATCCTGGTACAACTCTCTGTCATTTTATAATCTCACTTCAGCTGGACACTACACTTGGTTCACCAGTTTCAAATTGGATTGATTAGTAAATGCCCCTCAGATATTATGACCATGTGAAATTTGTTGCTGACACAGTTTTAATGGCATGACTAGATAAAGCAACCCTTCTTGGGTTCTATTAAGCAAACGTATTCAACAGAAAGTATTTCAGTGTGACCACGTGTGGGCATGAAAGGGAGGTGTAAGTCCTCACTCACAACTAAGCTGCATCTGGATTGTGGGTAATCAGAATTTTTAAATAATCTGTTCGAAATAATCAATGGATAAACAAGACAACAAATGTCAGAAGTGAGGAGAAAATAGGAGTCTAGAGATGGAAATTGACACTGATTCAGATTATAACGGATATGTTGGCATACTTAACCTTGGCCTTTTCCCTTGGCAATTTATCTCCACTAGCAATGTCTATTATGTGCTTGACATTGTTGAAAGGCTATAAAGCCTCAATTATAACTGTTTGCTGTCTAACAGGTCACTTCCAATGAATGTCAGTAACATAACCAGTTAATACAGTTGATGCTAGAGAATGACAATGAAGCAATGAAGTGAAGAACAAATTCTCTGAATGTACATTGAGGTAGATGGCAACTCTCAATACTTGAGTTCCTGTTTTTCCCACTTGAGCCCAGGTAAAAATTCCCACACTGTCAATCACATGCAAATGAAATGAAGTGTGCTACCTGTATGATCAGCAGGGTCCTCCTGAGTTTTCTAAGGAGTCAGCAGGTTCAAGCCATTGGCCAAGGTTACAGATCAAACACAAGATTCTTTCCACCTCTCATCCTCCACCCAACAGCCAGGCATTGCCAGTGAGTGCATGAAGTGTCTGCTCCCCAGTACAGACTTGCCCACTCTCTCTGAACAAACTGATGAGAGAATTTAACATCCAATGCAGCTCCATGAAAATATTGCAGAAAGGCACCAAGTGAAAAAGTTTAATAGATTTCTTTGGGACATCAAAAGTACTATGGGAAGTAAGGAGGAAATGTCCCAAAATAGCTTAAGCCACTGAAGTATTTTTGAAGTGCAGTTGTTATGTTCCAATAAACAACCATGAAATAAATGGCCAGATAATCTGCCGTTTTGATGAAGTTAGTTGAGGGATAATTCATGATCGCGAACTCCACTCCTCTTCTTTGAATAAATTTTGTGGGATCCTTGAAGTCCACATGAGAGGGCAGACATGGTTGCATTTGGAAGTCAATCTCTGACAGTGCAACATTCTCTCAATACAACAACAATAATGTAAGCTTTGATTATGAGCATAGATCTCTGCAGTGAAACCTGAACTTGCAACCCTCTGATGCGCAGTTTCACCGGGACACTCTGAGTAAACCATCAAACATCTCCAGATGTTGAAGGCATTCTTGCTTTGAACGGGAAAAAGAATCAAGGTTTATTAAAAAAAAGGGTTAATATCCTTTGATTATATTAAATGTATGCCTTTAGTCATGGTTCAGATAAATTTTTTCTTAATTTTGAAAATGAGATAAAACACAGAGAACTGTTGGGGAAACAAGGACATAAAAAAAGCCTAAATGCAGTGTTATGTGAAGGATTGGGGGTGACTCATGCTGCAGTGCATCATGAGCAGCTTTTCAGCAGTCCAACAATGACAGCAAATACAACATTGATTTTACCAGCACAGGACTCAATTTGACTTTTAAATGCAGTTCCCAAAGCACCACCATTCTACTTTCAGCCCTTTGCTTTCAAGTTTTTGTTTCCCAGTTTGTTCTTCAATATTAATATTTCCTCTCAAGTTGGAACACTGGCACTTTGCAACACATATAAATAAATGGTGTGTATAGGTTTTCAGTAGCTCTCACTCAATTGAGGAAGCTCAACCTCAAAACTTCCAGATCACTGTTACACAAACCCAGGGCTCTGATCAAGAACAAACTACTTTCCTGTTCTTTGATCCTGATGGTATCTGTTAGACCATAAGACATAAGAGCAGAAGTTAGGCCATTCAGCACATCAAGTCTGCTCTGCTATTCAATCATGGCTGATAGGTTTCTCAACCCCATTCTCCCGCTTTCTACCCATAACCCTTGATCCCCTTGACAATCAAGAACATATCTATCTCTGTCTTAAATATACTCAATGACCTGGCCTCCACAGCCTTCTGTGGCAATGATTTCCACAGATTCACAACTCTCTGGCTGAAGACGTTTCTCCTTGTCTCCTTTCTAAAGGGACTTCCCTTTACTCTAAGGCTATGTCCTCGGGTCCTACAGTCTCCTACCAATGGAAGCATCTTCCCAACGTCCACTCTGTCCAGGCCATTCAGTATTCTGTAAGTTTCAATGAGATCCCCCCTCATCCTTCTAAACTCCATCAAGTATAGACCCAGAATCCCTAAACGTTCCTCATATGTTAAGCCTTCATTCCTGGGATATTCTCGTGAAACTACTCTGGACCGCTCCAGGGCCAGTATATCTTTCCTGAGGTAAGGGACCCAAAAGCACTCACAGTACTCTAAATGTGGTCCGACCAGAGCTTTATAAACCCTCAGAAGTACATTCCTGCTTTTATATTCTGGTCCTCTTGAAATAAATGCCAACATTGTATTTGCCTTCCTAACTACCAACTCAACCTGCAATTCTACCTTAAAGGAATCCTGGACTAGGACTCCCAAGTCCCTTTGCACTTCAGACTTCTGAATTTTCTCCCTATTTAGAAAATAGTCTATGCCTCAACTCTGGGGTAGTTCTACTGCAGCCAGCTTCCTTGCACTTTCTCGCCAGAATGACTGGTGAACCCATTCAGACAAATCAGCTATGGGGAGGACCCTGTCCTCACATTCCACTAACACACAGCCCCTTTAGCAGGGATTACTGGGCAGGAAACTGACTGGTGTATTTTTCAATAGCTTGGTAACACTAAGGCCAATTACAATGCCCAGTACAAACCATCTAAATCCCTCAAACTGATGGAAACTATCTGCATAATATTATCCAGCGGCATTATCAAAATGTAGGAAGGCTCACTCAGGTGATAGTTTCATTTAAATCTATCACTGCGTTATGGTGATGAATAGTAGATGAAACATGAAGCTTTAAGCCACCTAATCCCACACTTCAAAGCATCCACAACTGACACTTCCTATAATGAAACTGAACACATCATGTTTTCTAAGCAAGAGAGCACTATGACATTAGGAGGGCCACATACTCAAGAATCTGGTGGCATTGACTATTACTCAGTTCGGTATTTATAGACATTGACCATTCAAGTCTCATAAAGTCATTAGTTAGGCCCTGGCCATCTATGAAGCTTCCTCTTTGTGGGAGTGGTTTATTATTCTAATCTCTTTGAAATGTCCAAATGAATCATCCTATGCCTACCTGTGACTGCACGTTAGCTCCAACTTGAGAACCCTGGTAAGAATCCCCATTCAGTGACTGCATGTTCATGAATAAGTCTCCAGAGTTTGGCATGTTAAAAGAACCAGAAGAACCTGGAAAGGAAAGAGTCAGGCACCTGAATCACGCACAGATTGCATACAGCAAGGCCCCTTTGAGCCAAGCACTGAGACAAGCTGAAAGTGCCAAAAGGAAGGGGTTAGTTGAGAACAAAGCTGCATGCACTAAAAATGCCCAGATTAAACCTTTCAGAATGCTCATAATAGCTGTTAAATTGTCACATGCATTACACAACCTGCAAGGCTCATTTTTATTTGTTGATTCATTTACAAAATGGATAGTAGGAAAAAAGTTTCAGTTGAGAGTGATTAGATTTAATTGTTTAGACAGCATCAACACTGATGTGAGTGTACCTTGGAAAACATTTGAAAAGTCAAAGCATCATGCAAAATTAGTAGGTCTGGAATGAGAATGAAGTGGTCACACAGTGCACCTGAACCGTGCATCTCTGTTGTCAGCACCAGATTGGTATGGGTCCTCTCTGACTCTGACCTACTGCTATCTATGAGAGTGTGCATAATGTCACTGTGTTTAGTACAAGAAGTCTGGACCATGGAAAAACACCCAAAAAAGCCAAACCTGGATCAACATATTTCTACTAACTTGTTGCAAAAGTCTGCTCCAGTCTATGCATTACTAATGATGTGCCCACTTTCACTTTTACATCTAAAGCTGGGATTCTTATAGGTTGCAGTTTACAATCTGTTCCAGACAGACGATCACCCAATAAGGAAACTGAATGGATCTTCATGCTCAAGATTTAATAGAACTATTGTTATAGTGGACTGTCCTGTCAGGGGCATACACAAGCGATTCTGTGGCAGTGAGTGTAATTTTAGGATGGTTTGATGCTTTCCTGGTGCTAGAATTAAGAACGTTTCTAAATGTTTCAAGCATATTGTTAAAGGTGAGATTGAGAAGCCAGAAATTATTGTACACATTGGTAGGAATGCCATTTTTAGGGAAAAGATTAAAGCAGTACAGAGTAAATTTAAGAGGTTTGGTAGAAGATTAAAAAATAAAACCTTAAAAATAGTCATTTCTGGTGTATTCCCAATGCCAAACTCAAACAAGGAATGGAACAAAAGGTTAAAGGAGATAAATCAATGGTTGAAGAGTTGATGTATTGTTCAGGGATTCAGGTTTTTGAACAATTGAAATGTGTTTTCGAATAGAAAAGACCTGTTCAAAAGGGATGGGTCAAACCTAAACTGGAAAGGGACTGATACCTTAGCAGGGAGGTTTGCTCGTTCTATTAAGGGAGACTTTATACTGATAGAGAAGGTGAATGGAGGAATCCTAAGTAGCTGTGTAAATGGAAGGATTGATGGGAAAGGTTCTGAACGTGAGGAGAGCACATCAGTTACAAAAGAAAGACAAGAGAGAGTCAGAGTATGTAGTAACTCTGAAGAACTGCATTTATTTCAATGCAAGGGGTCTTAAAGGTAAGGCTGATGAACTCAGGGCATGTTTAAGAACATGAAATTGGGACATTATAGCTATTACAGAAACTTGGCTGAGAGATGGGCAAGACTGGTAGCTCAATGTTCACATTTTTATATGCTTTACGAAGAATAGGAAGGGAGGCAAGAAAGGGGGGTGGCGTTTTTGATTAAGGAATACATTACTGCTGTAACTAGGGAAGATATTTCTGAAAAATCGTCCAGTGAAAAATACTCGGATAAAAATTACAAATAAGAAAGGAAAGCTCACTTTGATGGGATTGTACTATAGGTCCCCAAAAGTAAGACTGAAATTGAGAAACAATATGTAGGGAAATCTCAGATATATGTAAGCATAATAAGGTTGTAGTAATGGGGGATCTTAATTTTCCAAACATTGACTGAGACTACCATAGTGTTAAAAGATTTGGATGGTGAAGAATTTGTCAAATGTGCTCAAGAAATTTTTCTTTATAAATATGTGGTTGCTCTTAATAGAGAAGGAGCAAAACTAGACCTTCTTTTAGGCAATAAGGCAGGGCAGGTGACTGAAGTAAAAGTCGGAGAACACTTTGGGTCTAGCGATCATAATTCTATTAGTTTCAAAATGGTTATGGAAAAGGATAAGCCTTCCATAAAAATTGAAGTTTTTATTTGGAGTAAGGCAAAGTTTAATGGTATGAGACAAGAACTTTCAAAAGTTGTTTGGAGTAGACTGTTCGCAGGTAAAAGGACGTCTGACAAATGGGAGGCATTCAAGAGTGTGATGAAAAGAGTTCAGAGGCTTTTTGTTCCTGTTAGAGTGAAGGATAAGGCTGGTAAGATTAAGGAACAATGGATGATTAAAGATATTGAAGTTCTAGTCAAGAATAAAAGAATCTTTTTTTAGATATAGACAAGGTGGTTCAATTGAATCTCTTAATCAATATAAAGAGTGTACTGGCATTCTTAAAAGAGAAATCCAGAAGGCAAAGTGGGGATATGAGATAGCATTGGCAGATAAGGTTAAGGATAATCCAAAGAGATTCTACAAATACATTAAGAGCAAGAGGGTAACTAGAGAGGGGGCTGGGCTTCTTAAAGATCAAGGAGGTCGTCTTTGTGTTAAACCCCAGGAAATGGGAGGGATACTAAATGAATATTTTGTGTTGGTTTTTACTGTGGAGAAAGAAATGGAGTCTAGAGAATGCAGAGAAACAAACTTTCATGTTTTAAAAACAGTTCACATTATAATTCACATGGGCTCTCATGAAGAGTCATCTAGACTTGAAACGTTGGCTTGCTCTCTTTCCATGGATGCTGTGATTTCCAGCAATTTTTGTTTTCAGTACGGATTCCAGCATCTGCAGTAAATTGCTCCTACAGTGGTAACAAGGTGTAGAGCTGGATGAACACAGCAGGCCAAGCAGCATCATAG